AAATCCCAGGTGGAAAACCTATCTAATTTAGGGCCTTTTATATAGTTCAGGATTTTCAAGTGGTTTCTTCTTATGAGCACAGAGACTTAGAGCCTAAAGCCCTGTGAAGGATCTCTCTTGCTTGTTTCTAGCCATTGAGATGTCTGTCTTCTGATTTCCCATTTCTGAAGGAGCTGAGCAGGAGTTGGATATATTATGATCCAAAGACTGCTCCAGAAACACGGTTCTATTAAGTTTTCTTCAGTTACCTCCTATTTCTACCTCAAGCATGAAAAAAAGTGTGGTTTCATGGCCCTTTTTTACCTAAAAAGAATATTTGTTCTGTAGAGTATGAGATACAAAATTTTATGAACTTGGAGCTTTTATGCAAATAGCACTAAAGACTGGTTTATTCTGTATTACTGGACTGTATAAAGTACAGAAAGCTGTCTGGCACTTTAACTTCCTTTGCAGTAAACCAGGAGATAATGAGATTCCAAATTAGCTGAAGAAATCGGCACAGACTAAGTCTAAGAACTGTGAGAGAGCTATATCTCTGCTAGGGTTAGTAAGTAGGAATCAGCCTTGGGCCTATTCTTTCACACCACCAGGTGGCAGGATTTCCCTTGCCTGAAATCTGAAAGGCCAACTGATTTCCTTAGTGTATATATTATCTTTCAGTTTAGGTGATTGTCTCAGACTGCTTGTCTATGATATTATCTGTGTTTCCAGAACCTATAATATTCCTTTCCATATCTATAAAGAATATATCTCTTTCAAGATGTTAACCAGCAAAATGTTTTTCACATCAGCTTCATAGATTTTACAAATCATAGTAGCTTTACAAACTAATCAGCCCCTACCTCCATCTGCTTCACGCAGCAATGGTGTCGTAGAAGGTAATAAAGTCACAGACCAGCTTTCAGTAAAAATAAAAATAGCTGTTACTTAGTACATGATTACTCTGGAGCCAGGCACTCTGCTAGTCACTTTACATATAATGCAAGTCATTTATCTCATTTATTCTCACAGCAACACAGATAGGTACTATACTCATCCCCATTTTATAGATGAGGAAACCAGAATTACACATAGCTAGAGAGTGGTAGCCCTGGGGTTTGAACTCAGGCTTGCCTGTCTCCAGAACTATAGCTCTTCTCCATGAATCAAAAAGAAAAATTATTTCATAGGGATGCACTGAAGTCATATTTCTATGATCAGATTAAATAGTTGATGAGATAGTCAAAGTTCATAAAGACTTTATGTCCTAAAATGGGGCCAAAATTCCTTACCAAACTGCAAAAGTATTTATGTATACCCTCAGTGTAAGCACACACTATTCCCTTTGCTTTCAACAAAACCAAACCTTAGTTTTTCTACTTTGGTTCTAAAGACAGTGCAAAGTTTTATTTGTCAAAATTTAAATCACTGATCATTTCAAAAACACTTCAGGTATATAAAATACAATGCTTTCTAAAAAACTGATTTGCAGCCAGGTACAGTGGCTCACACTTGTAATCCCAGCACTTTGAGAGGCTGGGAGGTGGGAGATTCACTTGAGCTCAGGAGTTTGAGGCCAGCCTGGGCAACACAGTGAGTCTTTATCTCTAAAAATTTAAAATGTGAAAATAAAAATTTAAAAACCAGATTTGCTGTCAACATGTCAATAAGGGAAGGCTTTGTATGTTAAAAGTCTGGGGAAGCCTTCAGGAAAGTAATCTGTGTTACTTTGTATAACCCAGTTTTTTTTCCTTAATTAATTTTTGTCTTTCTGCCACAGAGCCTTTTTCTCTCCCCCAGAGAACTGATGCACATCCCTTGGAATCAGCATCCTTGCAACCCCCTTCAGGACACGATGCCCTGTACAACAGCTGTAAAGTACTTACCATTCCTCCGAGACCCTGCCCCCTGTCATGCCTCTGTGCCTTTGTATGTAGAGTTCCTTCTTCCTGAAATGGCTTCTCTTCTCCATCTTGATGAACTGCTACTTGTCCTTTAAGAAATAGCTCAAATGTCACTCTCTCTATGAAGTCCTGTCCAGTTCTCATAGACTGTCTCTCCTTTCTGCTGTCATTGCACTGAGAACGCTTTTCCAGAACTTATACTTCATGTATTCACTATTTCTTCATGTTTGTCTCTTACACTAGAATGCTGTCCATGTAAGATTAATGACCATGTTTTATTTATCTTATTACCACCTGCAGCTCTAACTGCACCTGGCACTTAGTAGGTGCTCTCCAAATGTTTGTTAAAGGAACGAATGAAGACGAAGAAACTGAGGCTCAATATTTAAGTATTTTTTTTAGTACTTTTCCTTTTTTTTATTGCATTTTAGGTTTTGGGGTACATGTGAAGAACATGCAAGATTGTTGCATAGGTACACACATGGCAGCATGATTTGCTGCCTTCCTCCCCTTCACCTATATCTGGCATTTCTCCCCATGCTATCTCTCCCCAATTCCCCACCCCCCACTGTCCCTCCCCTATTTCCCCCCAACAGACCCCAGTGTGTGATGCTCCCCTCCCTGTGTCCATGTGTTCTCATTGTTCAACACCCACCTATGGGTGAGAACATGTGGTGTTTGATTTTCTGTTCTTGTGTCAGTTTGCTGAGAACGATGGTTTCCAGGTTCATCCATGTCCCTACAAAGGATGCGAACTCATCGTTTTTGATGGCTGCATAATATTCCATGGGTTATATGTGCCACATTTTCCCTGTCCAGTCTATCATTGATGAGCATTTGGGTTGGTTCCAGGTCTTTGTACTTAAGTATCTTAAGGTCTCATAGTTTTTGGGATTCACACGTGGATGCCTTGACTCAGAGTACAGTGCTCTTTTCTCTATACCTGAGCAGCAATTACTTGGTAGAAGTCCAGCTATTCCCCTACCCATACCCCAAGGCAGACAACACTAACACCAAACCCAGCCTTTTGCTCTAGAACCTCAAGTATCACTCCAGGAAGCCAGTAACAGAATGGGCCCATGAGATTAAGAGGATTTGCCCTGCCTGACCTATTCCATGCTATACCCTACTACCAGACCATTTCTGTGAGTGTGGCAGAGTAGCTGGAGGTTGTAAAGCTCAGCACTGCTCTGCTAAAGGCAAAGTACACTGAGCTGGCTCACTGTGGCTTAGCAGCCCTTGTTCCCCATAAAGGAGACCCTCAAGCAGGGAACTAAAGGCTTCCAAGTTTTCACTTCTTTACCTCCCCTGATGCCTCCAGCTAGTCCTAGAATCCTGATTTGGAAAAGTTGCTGCCCCTGTTTGGATACCTGGCTGCTGGAGCAGATTGTGCTCCTCACTCACTCATACCGAGGTTTGGCCAGATATTTCCTCCTTCATTTTGTAGATGGAGTTTTGTAATGTTTACTAAAAAATGATAAGAAAATGTTTCCAGGCAGCAGCCTGGAAACAACCCAGCTTTTGGAACATACTTTCTTCACTAAGGTCTTGCCTAAGACTGGTCTGGCTGACACAAAACGTACTGAAGCATATCACATACTTTCTTTTTCCTTGCTCACTTCTCTCTGGAGATAATCACCTCCCAAATCCCCATTTCCACCATACTTTTCCTTCTCCAGCCCCTCAGCCCAGGAGAGGCTGTTTCATTTTGTTCACGTGACCAAGAGAACAGTAGATCACTAATAGGTTAATAGGCATCAAGGCACGTTTCTTTGCTCCCCTCTTGTAAGGAGAAAGGATGGTTCTCCCTGTTCCTTCTGTTGGCTTCTACAGCTTTATACCCGTCAAAAGTTGTATCAAAATAACTTTTCAGTATACAGCTGTTCCAGAGACATCTAACAGAAGAATTAAGTTGATAACTTCATGCATTCATACATCAATAAGTTTGATGACTAGGTGCAGTTGTTAAAAAATAGCTAATATTTATTGAGCACTTACTGTATACCACATACTGTGCTATGTGAATGATCTCATTTACTCTTCATTATATTTCCTTATTATAGATAATATTCTAATCCTCATCAGAGAAAAATGAGATACATAGAAAGTGGTAGAACCTGGATTCAAACACAGATATGTCTAACATGTCTAACTTTAAATGTAGTCTATGGCCTCAACTACTACATTCTTCAAGCCATTAGAACTATCCAGTAATGGAAGGAAGGGACCATTTTGAGAGATAGTAAATTCCTAATTATGGGAGGTATTTAATCAGTTACTGGACAAACAGTAATCTCAAAGGTCTTCTCTACCAGTACAGCTCATGCTGATATCAGTGATGTCAGTGATGATTTTCTATTTGCCACTATAATGGCTTCTTATTAGTTATCCTCTTCCCATCTGCAGTCATCATCATCATCATCAACAACACTATCATCATCTCTAAGTAGCACAGACTATGTGCCAAGCAACTTCTTTGCAGTTTTACTTACATTAACTTGTTAATAACAACCCTATGAAGTAGATATAATATTATATTATTATAATAATATCATAGGGTTCCTCATCCTCATTTTATGGATGAGGAAACTGAGAAGTAAAGTGATTTGTCCAAGACTATGCAGCTAAAGACAGAGCTGGGATTATACCCCAGGCCATCTGGCACTAGCCCATTCCTTACCACTACATGGCACTCTCTTAATATTTGATACATATGCCATACTCTTAAAACGTATCTTTCTTATCATCAAAAATAATATTTATTGTAAAAATAAAAGTAAAATGGCACAAAAATATATAACATAGCATTTGAAAGTCCTCCATAATCCTATGTCCTAGAGATAATCTTTCATGTTTTTAGCCCTAACAATATATATGGGGATATTCTTCCATGACTCTACATCGTATCTTTGAATGACTATATTATATGGCTCTAAACATGTACTAGTATTTCTACTGGTAGACATTTGAGTTTTTCCCACTGTATGATATTATAAACAAATCTAAAAGAAATATATATACATATAAACATAAATATATAACATAAATATATATGTATGTTATATGTATACACATATATATAACATATATTTATAAATGCATATTTTGTGCAAGGATTTCAAAAGACAGATTATTAGAAGTGGTCTTTCAGAGTCAAAGGTTACATGAATGTAAACAGTCTATTAACTTTTCCCAACATGTCCACCAAAACGGTGCAATCAAGAAACAGTGCTAGGTCAGGCATGGTGGCTCACACCTGTAATCCCAGCACTTTGGCAGGCCAAGGCAGGTGGATCACCTGAGGTCGGGAGTCCGAGACCAGCCTGGCCAACACGGTGAAACTCCATCTTTACTAAAATACAAAATTAGCCGGGTGTGGTGACACACATCTGTAATCCCACCTACTCAGGAGGCTGAGGCAGGAGAATTGCTTGAACCAAGGAGGCAGAGATTGCAGTGAGCCGAGATCACACCACTGCACTCCAGCCGAAAGACTCCATTTCAAAAGAAAAGAAAAAGGAGGAGAGGAGAGGGGAGGGGAGGGGAGGGGAGGGGAGGGGATTGAGAGGGTGTAATCAGCCCCATACAGTCAGTCCCATATAAATATTGAGAGGGCTGATTACTCCATAGCTTTGAGAGAGCTGGGTTTTATTACCTATATTTTTCATTACCACAAAAATGATAGGTTAAAAATGGTATTTCATGTTTTGAATCATGCCTGAGATTGGAATCTTTGTGTATGTGTGTTTATTGGTCACATGGATTTCTTCCACTTTGAAGTGTCTCCCCTCCATGTCTTTTGTAACAATGACACTGGCCTTTCACTGAAACTTTGTCCTCTGATTTCTTTTGTATTATTTCCTGACTCTCCTGATTCTTAAGGACTCTTTCAGAGTCTCCCCTTCAGTTCCTCTTTCTGCGTGATCCATAAATAATACAAAGTGATAATTACAATAACTAAAATTTCACAGACGCTTGCTATGTGCCATACACGAAGTAAAGCACTTAAAATGAAATGCTCTATTTATGTGCATTTTCACAGATGAAGAAAGCAAGCCTTAGGAAGTCTCATTATAAGTGGGAAAGCTCAAATTTGAGCCCCAGCTGTTCTGCTACCAGATCACCATATTATATTCTCTCTGAAATAAGTGTTCCTCAAAGTTCCTTCCTAAGCCTTCTTGTTTCACACGTATGCATTCCATGGGTTATCTTACATTCTATTAGCTTCAGAATCATTTCTTTGAGCTCCTGGCCCATACAGCCAACAGCTTACCAGCCATTGCCAAGTGAATGTATTGTGGGTGCCGCAAACATATCCAAAGCGGAAACCATCTTCCCTCAGGTGTCCTAGACATCCTCCAAGATTATTCCTCTTGCCAATACTATTTAATAGCATTGCCATTCAGCCAGCTGCCCAAGCTAGAAACTTCAAACCTACCTTTGATTCCTGCCTTATTAAACCTCACATCTGACTGGTCCCAAGGTCTGGCAGTACAAACTCCATGTAGCTTCTCAATCCATCTTCTGCACATTCTTTCTACTATGGCTTTAAATAATTAAGGGTCTAAACATCTCTCCCTTGGACTACCAGATCTGCCTCCTAACTGCTCTCCCTACTTCTCCCTAGGTACTATCTATCCTTCTCATTGCTGTTAGAGTTAATGTTTTAAAGCCAATAATTAATCATGTCATATCCTGCTCAAAACTGTTTGATGGTTGCCTTCTGTCTACTAAATAAATTCTAAATGCCTTAGCATGGCACGTAAAAATTCCATGATCTAGCCCCCAGGTCTGTCTTTCCAAACTCATGTCCAGCATGTCCCTCCTCAAGTACCTTAAACTACGACTCAAGACCACTTCTTTTCCTCAGCGATATCAAGGATCTATGCCACTATGCTTCTGTTCATGCAACTTGGAATACTCTCCTCTGGCTTCTTGTCTACTGCTTGGGTCTACTTTTCTTCAAAGACCCTGCACCCCAGCCCTCAACCTATGCAGAGTTTCCACCCACATTTCTAGGCTCATGATTTATTGCTTGCATCTTTCTCTTTACATTTCTATTAAAGACTTACTACAGACTAACTTGTAATCTGGTCATATGTGTCTATTTTCACATAAGGGACTACAGCTTAAACATATTAGTATTTTTGGTGCTTAAGTGAGCTAGACATGTAAATGATTAAAACTGAAGTACATTTGTGATTTAGATAAAAGACTAAACAACCTGAAAGTTTACTTCCAAGTCTGAGATTTTCTAGGCCCTTTCTGTACACCAGAATTTTATCTGAGGCCCTTGCAAGTGTCATTTAACCTTGAAATTAACTCTAATTTCAAGGGGCCGTTTCTATTTTAGCTTTTTTACAGAGACTTCAAAAGCCAAGAATTCAGGCTTCTAGCAACGAAAGTCCAGTGAGTGTAGTCAAGGAGTCTCCGGAAGAGGTGAGGTAAGAAGCAGGAGAGTACGTCGGAAAACCAGCAGAGTTCCAGGACATCTGGGACTGATTACTCCAGTGAGATGCCGAAGTTTGCAAAGAGAGAGCAATCCTTGCCTGGGGTTTTGACATCTGGCTTTGGCAGTTACTCCCATGGCTTTGCTCAGCAGTTCTTCAGGAATGAGATATGGGCTTGTTTCAGGGAAAGAAAAACCTTCTGCTACAGCAAAGTCCTTCAAAAGACTCTTCTTTTCCCCTTATATCGACTTTCTCGGTAGGTTTGGTCTCATTGTAATTTACAGAAAGAAAAATTAATTTCCAAGTGCCTGAAGAAACTCATACCTAGGGTCTGAATTAGATTTTCTAATTTTTCTCCTTCTATTAATCTTTCCAAATCACCTAAAAGGCACAGTAAATACTGGAAGGCAAAGCAACCTTTGGCTACCGAGGAATCAGATTCATTCCGGATTTTCTGAAGTATCTCTTTTTAAATACAAGCTGAGTAGAACTTCTGTTTATTTTGGAGGAAAGATCATGCGTTTTTTTTCTCTGAAATTACACATTGTTCTTTTAGTTTCATTAGTATTACCTTCAAAGCACAAAATGTACTTTAGAGTACATTCTGTATGTTCAAAGATTCAAATTCGCAAAACTAACATATGGTAATAGTGGCTAACGATTATCCCTGATTTCAAATATTCTGAACTGCTGCCCGGAAAGCAAAAGGCAGTCTTCTGTGAAGGGGAAGGGGGGGGGTGTTTTACGAACATCTATTGAGCACATACTCTGCCAGGCACTGTACTATGCATGTTATAGACATGATTCTATTTAAAACTCACAACAACTCTATGTTGTTTACTATTATCTGCATGTTAGTGATAGAAAACAAGGCTCAAGGAGGTTAAGTGATTTGTCCAAGGTCACATACTTGTGAGTGGAAAAGGCAGGTTAAGATCACAAGTCTGACTCTAGTAACATACTCTGTACCTATTACTCTTAATATAAAACAATAATAGAGTGATACAAAGAAACCTCTTATTTTAACATTCTGATCTATTATCTCTTGCACTTCGGAAAGATAATTATTGTTTTTGTTATTTTGTTATTATGATCTCAACATTCACTGGGCATTGAAAACCGGCTAAGACCTTCCAGGCCCTGATATAAGTCTTGTACTATTTATGATCTCATTAACTTTCAGAAAACGTACTTTTTGATAAAAGTACTAATATTTTACTGATGAATAGATAGAGGCTAAGGGGGGTTAAGTCACTTTACCCAGGTCAGAGAGCTGAGTGTTGGAGCCTGACTTTTTAAATCCAGGCAATCCTGGGTGCAATGGAAGATGCCTGTAATCTCAGATACTTGGGAGGCAGAAGAAGGAAGACCGTTTGGACACAGGAGTTTGGACCAGCCTGAGCAACACAGCAAGACCCCATCTTAAAAAAAAAAAATCCAGACAGCCTGTCTTCAGATTGTAAGCTATACTGCCTATAGAGTACAGATTCCGGAGTTAGAGAGACCCAGATTAAAATTCTAGCTTTGCCTCTTTCTGGGTAAGTTAACTTCAGTAAATCAGTTTTCAGTTTTCCCATATGTAAAATGGGTTCTGGAGGCTTACCTTACAGGTATCCTCATACATATACTCAAATTCATCAAGATCAGAATTTGTATTACATAGTGAAAGGGTATTTTTGAAATTTGATCAACCCAGATTGAAATCTTACATTTACCAGCTATCTTATGAACAAAATACCCAACCTTTCTTTTTTTCTTTTTCTTTATTGAGACAGGGTCTCAGTCTGTCACCTAGGCTGGAGTGCAGTGGCACGATCACAACTCACTGCACCCTTGACCTTGGGCTCAAATTATCTTTCCACCTCAGCCTCCCAAGTAGCTGGTACCACAGGCACATGCCACTACACCACACTAATTTTTATATTTTTTGTAAAGATGGGGTTTCACCATGTTGCCCAGGCTAGTCTTGAACTCCTGGGCTCAAGCAATCCACCTGCCTTGGCCTGCCCAAGTTTTGGGATTACAGGTGTGAGCCATCATGCCCAGCCAAGATACTCAAACTTTCTGAGCTTCAATTTCATCACCTGAACATGGAAGATACATATACCCACTAACAGTGTGGTTTATGAATCTGAAATGTATATGTAAATATATAATACAGTGCCAAGGAAATGGAAAACCTTCTACATTATAGTTATTAATATTTTTATGGTTATTGATTAAGAAAATGCTTTCACATACACCAACAGGTAGGAGCAAAGTTTCCCATTTTGTCCTGTGGCTGATCCTCTATATCCTCCTAACACGGGAATTATTGAAGAGGCTGGAGAACATCCTCCTCTGGATGATGATAAAACAGGAGGTAGCCTCCTCTGGGGCCCACCTCAGGTGTGGCTGTGACTGAAAAGTGTGTGGATAGGATGGCTGCATGTATTCTCCATGGCATGGTCTTCCCCCCCCCCGTCTAGCCTGGTGTACTTGGTGAGAAGGGGACCAATTGTCAGCCACTGCTGGTGATTCAGGGTCCTAACTCTCAGTAGCAATTCACCTCTGTTAGAGGGCTCTCAGGGAAAAGCACATGGCCTTTAGAGTCACACTTATTTCAGTCTAAATCTCTGAGACTGAGTGAATTTAGGCAAATTCCTTTATAAAATATCAAGCTCCCTTCTGTCAAATGAGAGCTATCATATTGTGTATTTGAGAGGATTAAATTATATACTTTATGAATAGGACCTAGTTCAGTTTTATGAATTCGGTAGAAACTCAACAAGTTTTCATCCGTTTCCCTCTTAAAAGAGAACAGTTAAAGGTCAATACTATTCTGGGATGAACAAACGTCAATGATAAGTGTCACTGACAGCATCAAGTTTAAAGACTGAGGCAAGTCTATACAAAACTCTCTTTGACTTAAATTCTAAACATTTTTTAAAAAGAATCTGAAGAGGCTCTGTCATTATTAACTTTGGAGACAACTGTATCCTAAAAAACTTGCCGCATGTTTACGGACCTAGACTTTGTATGTCCAGCAAGGAAAATAATCTTAAGGCACTCATCTACTTTGTCTGAATCGTACTGTATCTATCACACTGTGATCAGCTACACCTTGCAGGGCTTTTCTATAATGCTCAGCATTGAAAGGGATATGATAAATACTCAATATTATTGCAGCAGACCCTCTAATACTGGGTTCTAAGAAACTATAAGAAATCAACTGATTTCCCCAAATATAGGATTTGGCTAAATTCATACACAGGTAGGACTTCACCTTGCTAGCAAGAATGTTAGAGGTGAATCATCCCTACCTGGTTGAACTGGGAGAGGCCACGCCATGCATATATCCACATTGATGACCTGGCTGATGACCAGGGCCAGAACTTACCTCTGCAACAGGGTAAGAAGGCTCTTTGTCTCTCTGCTTTTACTGTGTTCACCTCCATATGCAAGGATTTGAATCATCAGACACTAGGTAAGGTGAGAAGCAACAGAATAAAGAGAGTCAGATAGCAAGCGCCTTAACTGCAAACCAAACTCAGGAAAGGATCAGCAGAAATGAGATGTCACAAGTTCACATTTCAAACACCTGTACTACATTTCATTTGTTCCCTAAGCTGATAACAAGGATGTAGCCCCCACCTAGGCTTACAGCATCCTAAATTGCCAAGTTGAATCCTATTTCAAATGGAGGATATAGCCATGATGTCTTAGTCCATTTCATGTCTAGTGAGGGCCCACTTCCTGGTTCATTGACAGCTGTCTTCTTGCTGTAAACTCACATAGTAGAAGGGGCAAGGAAGCTCTCGGAGGATTCTTTCAAAAGGTCACTAAACCCATTCATGAAGGCTCCACTCTGGAGTGCTAATCACCTTCTAAAGGTCCCATCTCAGAATACCACCACATCGGAGATTAGGTTTCAACATATGAATATTGAAGGGACACAAACATTCCATCTATTGCACAAGCCATCAGAAATTCATTGCCAGGTTAAAAGCTAAATGAGGCTCTCCTTATACTGATTTTGTGTGGAACACAGTAAACCTCACAATGTGGATGCTATGGTCTTTTTAAATTTCAGAACGTTTGTCTTCAGTGATCTCTCTGATACTACTTCGATTCCAATCATGATAATTTTTTCAGAAATACATACAGTTCTTTAGCTGAATCTCTACTTTGTCCTTCATACTAACTACTTTCTCATGAGATCCCTCTCTTCTTTCAGTCTGTGTTCCGGGAGAGCTTTTCAAGTTTGTTATATCAATCTTGATTCTTCAAATTGGCAGCATATTAAAACTGCCTCTAGAACTACTAAAAAAACAGATTCTGGACACAGCTCACAACTTTTAATTCAGAGGATCTGGGGTGAGACTCAGGAATCTGTTTTTTGCTTGTTTTGTTGTGTTTCTCACTGACTGTGTTGCAATTCTAGATTTGAGAAACAATACTCAATATCACTCCGTGTTGAGTCTTCATTATTTTCAATGTGGTTTGAATTTTATTAGACCTGTTTCTCTGGAACCCTTCTCATTTCACTCATCATTTTTCGTTTCATCTCATCTTTTGTCCTCAGATTGTCATCCTTTCATCTCAAAGTTTTCTCTCCTTTCAGGCCTCTGCCCCCATGACATCCATGTGTTCATGCCTCCCAGGAAAAGCTATCCTGGCTCCTGTAACTTACTTTCAGGAGGCTTCTTTTTCCTCTGATTCTTCAAAATGAGTAACCCCTTTCTCCTGTTATTTACCATTTTCTTGTCACATTAGGTTAGCCTGAAATGAGATGAAAATCTCTGCAAACTTGATGTAGACTGCTTCTGATTCCACCCTTTTCTCACTTGAGTATTACTTGATCTTTACCAACTTTTCCTCTGACTTTGAACCAACTTAGGTTTTATGAAGAGGCATACCCATCTACCTTACTAAGTCATTAGCTTCATCCTGTCAGCATACTGACTGGTTGAACACCTCTTGCCCACCCCTACTGCAAGGGAATGAGTTCTCTGGAAGGGGAATGAGTACTTGGGTATGGATGGTTAAACAAGGTATTATTAATTCCACCCAACCTTGAAGTGCTTTCAAGAGATTCTGCCACTATCATACTTAGATTCCAAGATTAGGGTGTTACTCTTTTAAAGACTCTTGCCCAGGCATGGACTCAACAAAAGTTTTTGTATCGTATTCTCCCTCAGCACATCTAAGAAAGCAGACAACTTTCGAAAGATAACACATCACTTAAAAAGAGAAAAGGAAAGAAAGACAGAGGGAATGAAATGGAAGGGAGGGGAAAATACACACATACACACATACATACGTACATCCATAGCTCCTTGCATTCTGCTTACAAGCCCAGGGGAAAATGTAATGAAACCAGCTAATAGTCACCTTCCTCAGCAGCTGAATTGCCCTTCTGTGCTCTCCTTTGGCAAAGCAGATCCTGCCCATGTTATAAAAAGATTCAGCCACATTTTTGCTATAGTCACCATAGCTGATGATCTGGGACTTTAACGAAGACTTTAGCAGTCTGTGAGCTTCCTGAGGGATAAAATGTTAAAAAAATAAATCAGCCTGGCAATTCCGAAGGAGCATGCTGGTTCTATTCCCTGAGCTCTATGGAGAAGGCATTGTACCCAACGATGACATAACCCACCGAGATCAGTCCATTGTGAAGTGTCACCTAAGTAATTTGTATTAAGAATTAAAGTTCCAAGCTTATAATTAATAATAATTAATTCGTATGTAAAATACTATTAAATTTTCATGGCTTCTCTACAAGAGAGGAACTGTCATTTTATAGATGAAGGAATGGAAACTAGGAACTGCTAAGGATCTTGCCTCAGCTCATACAGCATATCATCGTCAGTGTCAGAATTCCAACACCAGACAGCCTGAATTCCACAACCCTCACTCTTTTTTATTCACCTATTTTTTATTTTAAGTTTTTTCAAACCTTCAGAAAAGCTAAAAGAAGAGTAAAATAAATACCCATACAGTTTTCACCTAGATTCACACATTGCTACAATTTTGCCACATTTGCTTTATTGTTCTCTCTTCTTAAAAAATAATCTCTCAAACACCGCATGTTCTCACTCATAGGCGGGTGATGAAAAATGAGAACACGTGGACACAGAAAGGGGAGTACTAAACACTGGGGTCTATTGGGGGGAAAAGGGGAGGGCCAGTGGGAGGGGGAGGTGGGGAGGGATAGCCTGGGGAGAAATGCCAAATGTGGATGAAGGGGAGAAGGAAAGGAAAAGCACACTGCCATGTGTGTTCCTACACAACTGTCTTGCATGCTCTGCTCATGTACCCCAAAACCTAAAATCCAATAAAAAATTTAAAAAAAAAATAATAATCTCTCTCTATATATAAATATACATGCATCCACACATCTATTTTTGTTGAAAATAAGTTGTAGTAATCAAGATACTTTACCCCTAAATGCTTTGTTTGTTTGTTAGTTTGTTTGAGACAGGATCTCACTCTCTTGCTCAGGCTGCAGTGCAGGGGTGTGATCATGGCTCACTGCAGCCTCGACCTTCGAGGCTCAAACGATCCTCCACCTCACCCTCTGTAGTAGCTGGGACTATAGTTGCACACTACTCTGCCCAACTAATTTATTTATTTATTTTCTTAGAGACAGAGTCCCACTATGTATGGTCATGAACTCCTGGGCTCAAGCAATCCTCCTGCCTTGGTGTCCCAAATTACTGGAATTACAGACAGGCATGAGCCATCACACGTGGCCACTGCTGAACACTTAAGTTTGTGTTTTCTTAGAACAAGAAAATTCTCCTACATATCTACAATCACATTATCATTCAATAAATCTTACATCAATACAACAATGTTTCCTAATATATGCGCCATATTCAAATTTCCCTATTGTTCCAATAATGTACTTTACACCTCCTTAAAATCTAGCATCTAATCTTCATGTACCACATTTAGTTTTCATTATCCTTTAATCTGTAACAGTTCTCCTGCCCTTTTGGTCTTTCATGACATTGACATTTTTGAAACATCTAGGCCAGTTTTCTTTCAGCAAAGCTGTCACTGTTAACTACTTACAATACAGCAAAAATAAATTAAGTATTCATTGGAAATTATTCATAGGACAACGGTGCTTGTACTCATTTGCCTTCCCAATGCGCTCTCTTTAGAGAAGGTGAAGAGGTATTGTTGCTGGCTCCCTTAAGAACTGCACATCACCCACTCACTGCCTGAATTATCTATGTTGACAAGTACAACAGAACACTTCTTCAGAATTGGGTTGAGCATGAAATCATCAACCCTAACGTGGCATGTCAGATTAACAAACATAAAAGGGACGTCAGTTGCTGCTTTCCAGAAAACATTGTCAATAAATCAGGAATCTCAAGGCTACAGTAATATTTTTGCATTTTTTAGAGTAGGAAACAATGCATTTAATTTATTGTGTTCCTGTTTATTTTCTTTCAGTGTAAAAGTCTTTCACCTCCTTAAGTTTATTCCTAAGTATTTTATTATTTTTGATGCTATTGTGAATTGATTTTCTTACCTTCCTTTTCAAATTGTTCAGTGTTAGTATATAAAAATGCAACTGATTTTTGTAGGCTGATTTTGTTTCCTATAATTTAGTTGAATTTATTAGTTCAAACAGGGTGTGTGTGTGTGTGTGTGTGTGTGTGTGTGTATGAGAGAGAGAGAGAGAGAGAGAGAGATCACTAGGGTTTTCTACATAATGTCATGTCATTCTGTGAACAGAAATAATTCTACTTCTGTTCATATTTGGATGTTTTTTATTTCATTTTCCTGCCTAACTGCTCTGGCTAGTACTTCCAGTACTATGTTGAATAGAATTGGAGAAAGTGGGCATCCTTCTTTTGTTCCTATTCTTAAAGTAAAAGCTTTCAGTTTTTCACCATTGAGTATGATATTAGCTATAGGCTTTGCATATATGTATGGCCTTTATTATGTTGAGGTAATTTCCTTCTATTCTTTCTTTGTTGACTTTTCTTTTTTTAAGACAGTCTTGTTCTGTTCCTGGAGTGCAGTGACCCAAGGCCCACTGCAACCTCTGCCTCCCAGGTTCAAGCAATTCTTTCACCTCAGCTTCCCAAGTAGCTGGAACTACAGGAGCCAGCTAATTATTATTATTATTATTATTATTGTATTTTTAGTAGAGACAGGGTTTCACCATGTTGGCCAGGCTGATTTTGAACTCTAGACCTTGTGATCTGCCACCTCAGCCTCCCAAAGTGCTGAGATTATAGGCATGAGCCACCATGCCCAGCCTGTTTTGCATTTTTTAAAATCATGTAAAGGTATTGAATTTTGTCAAATGCTTTTTCTGCATCTCAGAGTATTATATGATTTCTATCCTTCATTCTATTTAAGGTGATATATCTCATTGATTGATTTTCATATGCTGAACCATTCTAACATCCCAGGGATAGGTCCCCCTTGGTGATGGCGTATGACACTTTTAATGTGCTGTTAAATCTGGTTTGCTGGTGTTTTGTTGAGAATGTTTGCATCTATATGCATCAGGGATATTGAACTATAGTGTTCTTATAGTATAGCTTTTTATGGCTTTATGTCAGAGTAATGCTGGCCTCATAAAGAGTTTGGAAGTGTGTCCTCCTCTTCCAGAAAATGGTGGAGTTTGAAAAGAACTGGCAATATTAATTCATAGTAGTCTCTTATAATCCCTTTAATTGTTGTGGCATCAGCTTAATGACTCTTTTTTCATTTCTGATTTTGTTTATTTCAGTCTTCTCTCTTTTCTTGTAAGTTAATCTAGCTATTCAGGAAACAGGTTCCAGCAGCTCAGGCTCCTTCCCATTAGTTCTCACAGTGTGCTTCGCTGGGTGAAGCAGGTTGGCATTTCTATTGAACCCAGGGATCTATCTATTTGACTTCCTTCTTCTGATGACCATTTTCTTTCAGAAGTTTCAGGAGGCTATCCCCCCTCTTAGAGTGCTGAATATGCTTCAAACATGCATTCATTCTGCTGGTAAGAATCTTGTCAAAAATATTGGGTTTACAACACAGACAGCTGGCTGGATAACAATACAGGCTCTCTCCGTGGGAACACTTGTGGGGCATTTCCTTTCGGACAGTGCCTATTCCCTTGATTTCGACAGTATCGCCTTTCTTGTAGATTTGCATGTATGTGGTCAGAGGAGGATCTTCATATTTTCTAAAAGCCCTAGAGAACATATAAGGGGTACCTCTCCTCTTTTCTCCGGTTTTGTTTGTTTTTGTTTTTGTTTTTGAGACAGGGTCTCTGTCACCCAAGCTGGAGTGCAGTGATGCAATCACAGCTCACTAAAGCCTCAACCTCCCAACCTCAAGTAATCCTCCTGCCTCAGCCTCCCATGTAGCTGGGACCACAGGGATGCACAACTGCACCTGGCCAATTCTTTAATTTTTTGTAGAGACAGGGTCTCGCTATGTTTCCCAGGTTGGTCTCGAACCCCTCAGTGTTTTGGTCAAGCAATCCTCCTGCCTTAGCCTCCCAAAGTGCTGGGATTACAGATGTGAGCCACCATGTTTTGTCATTTTGATGAATCATTGGAAGATGGTGGTTCCAGATGAATGGGTTTTTTTATCCATGGCAGATTAAACCGTTTACCAAAATGTGTGTGTGTGTGTGTGTGTGTGTGTGTGTGTGTGTATTCCATGGGAACAATTCCCAAGTCTTGCAAGTTTCTGTTACGGTCTTCTAGGACAGGGCTACAGCCTCACATGAAGCTCGGAGGTGGGAGATCAAGCTACTTTTAAATATGGGAAATGTGTTATAAAATTCAGCAGCTTCATTAAAAAGTTACTGGGCACCTTCTATGTGCCAGTTACTGTTTCAGGCATTGAGGACACTGCAATGAACAAAACAAACAAAAATTCCTGCTCTCATGGCACTTGCTTCTTAATGATAAAGCTAACCTGTCCATAGTCCTGCTTATGGTTTAGATTTGGAGCCACCTGGCACTCAGGTCCTTTGGTGGCTTTGTCCAGGAGCTTGGTATACTAGGAAGTACTTGATTAGAAGCAGAAAATTATCAGGCATTGGTAATGGTGGTGATATTGGTGTTTTATCACAAACAAGTTCATAGTATTCACTGCACCAGAATATAAACATTCTGGCAAAGTATTTTCACATCTTTGAAAATAAAATTAATTATTAGATCAACCCATGGCAATTGGATCTCATGTTAATCTTCTGCACCGGCCAAGCATGGTGGCTCATGCCTATAATAGCACTTGGGAGGCCGAGGTGGGCAGATCACTTGAGATCAGGAGTCCAAGACCAGCCTGACCAACATGGTGAAACCCCGTTTCTACTAAAAACACAAAAACTAGCCAGGCGTAGTGGCAAGCACCTGTAATTCCAGCTATTCCAGGGGGCTGAGGCTTGAACCTAGGAGGCGGAGGTTGCAGTGAGCTGAGGTGGTGCCAGTGCACTCCAGTCTGGGTGACAGAGTGATTCTATCTCAGAAAAAAAAAAAGTTCTGAACCAACAGAAAATACGATGGCCACAGAAAATAGGTTGCAAATCTTTATTAGAGTTTTGTGTTTACAAATGGCAGTTAAAATTGAAATGAAGAAAATGTCATCATTTATAAAAATGTTTAGATATGATATAAAAAAACTTTTCTTCATTCCTGGAAATAAATTTTTACTTATTATGTGCCTATAACTCTACTCTTAAACTGGTTTTTATGTGGCCAATAAGACCATGTCAAATATATCCATATTTCTCACTTGCCTGAGGAAGTATAAAGTTGGCTTGGTTAGATAAATTCATGTGGGATCTTATGACAACAGAAGTCTTCACTGTGTTCATGCTGCACTGAATATATACAGCTCAGGTCAAAGGTTCTGAGTGATAGCTTAGACTCATGGGACTTCTAAGTAAAAAGGTCAGCAATAACAATTATTTTCTATAACTTTTTTTTAATGTGAAAACAAAATTGTGGCTAATAAAAAGCTATCAGATCAAGGGAAAACCACTACTGCAAAAGAAAAGAACTGGTAGCTAGATCCAAAGACGGAAGCCAATTTTGACTTAATATTAAATTTACAAAGCCAGAGATTACACATGTCCTGGATTTGAAGGATCTCATGTATCAAGATACAAGAAATTTTTTTTTTACTTATATTCTAAGCCACCTAAGCCCTGTCTAGTATTCCTAGTTTTCTTTTATTTTTTTCTCCAAGCAAGACAGGCTTTATGTAGATCACTAAAAATAACATTTTACAGAAAGGGAACCATAATATTACACAACAAAATATAGCTGTAACATTTCAAACAAGAAAGGCAATGCTGGTGGGACATGGTGGCTCACACCTGTAATCCCGTACTGTGGGAGGCTGGGATGGGCCAATCATGCCTGGCCAACATGGCAAAACCCCATCTCTACGAAAAATACAAAAAATAGCCAGGCGTGGTGGTGCATGCCTGTAATCCCAGCTACTCAGGAGGCTGAGGCAGGCAAATCGCTTGAACCCAAGAGGCCCCACTACACTACAGGCTGGGTGACAGAGAGAGACCTTGTCTCAAAAAAAAAAAAAAGTTTGATAGAGAATTGTTAGAAGCAAACATATAGCTGCAAATTTTCTTTTGCCATCAATATCGATTCCCTCTAAAATATTTTGAGCCTACTGTGCAGTTTTCGAGTCTAAACTAAACCTTGTTGGACAAAGTTGCTCAGTTTCATCAAAAGAATGAAACCAGCTTGCAAAGAAAAAAAATTCCTTGAATGCTAACAAATAATGAAACAACGTTGTTCTTGCCTAGTTTTATCTGGGACTTATCTGATCTCCAGCATCTGAATTATAAGATCAAAAATGCTATTGTGATCTAATAAACAAATTAGCAATTCTGTTTATGCGCTGATTACATTTACCTGTTTTTTGCCATTTTGGACAAGCCATTTGCAAAATTCTGCAATAGTGTTCAGTGTTTCAAAATCCTCTGAGCCCAGTGTTGCTCCATATGCATTGATACTTTTTATGAAATATATCTCAGCAGCATCTGGAAAAATGGAAACAATTATTTAAGACAAGCTCGGGAGGCTGAGGCAGGAGAATTGCCTGAATCCAGGAGGCGGAGGGTGCGGTGAGCCGAGATCGCGCCATTGCACTCCAGCCTGGGAACAGCAGCGAAACTCCGTCTCAAAAAAAAAAAAAAAAAAAAAGACAAGCTGCTAACCTTTACAAGTGTCTAATATCAGCTTTGGCTCACTTGACATTTTCATGCTTAAAGTCCATGCTTGTTCTCATGCCAGGTCTCAGAAGGACTCTTTAAAAGTCTAAGATGTGATTTAATGGCATCAGATAATGTTGTGATTTTTATTCTCCTTATGAAATGCATGGAATTTTTCATAGGAAAAAAAAAAGCTTCTGTCTAAATAGTCTCATGCTAATACTACAAATAACTACCATATTAAACTCCCAGGTATACTGCAAGACTATACTGTTAGCTAAATCAAATTCTGATAAGGAGTAATGTTTACTGAGGTTCCTGTGTTTTGGGGGGTGTGGGAGGGAGTAAGTTGTGATTTTTTTTTTTTTTTTTTGAGATGGAGTTTCCCTCTTGTTGCCCAGGCTGAAGTGCAATGGCATGATCGCAGCTCACCCCAACCTCTGCCTCCCAGGTTCATGCAATTCTCCTGCCTCAGCCTCCTGAGTAGCTGGGACTACAGGCATGCATCACCACACCTAGCTAATTTGGTATTTTTAGTAGAGATGGGGTTTCTTCATGTTGGTCAGGCCGGTCTCAAACTCCTGACCTCATGTGATCCGCCCGCCTCCGCCTCCCAAAGTGCTGGGATTACAGGCATGAGCCACTTTTTTTTTTTTTTTTTTTGAGGTAGAGTTTTGCTCTTGTTGCCCAGGCTGGAGTGCAATGGCGCGATCTCAGCTCACCGCAACCTCCGCCTCCTGGGTTCAAGCAATTCTCCTGCCTCAGCCTCCTGAGTAGCTGGGATTACAGGCACGCGCCACCATGCCCAGCTAATTTTTTGTATTTTTAGTAGAGACGGGATTTCACCATGTTGACCAGGATGGTCTCGATCTCTTGACCTAGTGATCCACCCACCTCGGCCTTCCAAAGTGCTGGGATTACAGGCTTGAGCCACCGCGCCCAGGGAGCCACTTTAAATATATACTTGTTATTACTTGAAAGTTTAATTTTAATGCAGTGTCTTTCCAAACATAAAACATGTTTATGTTATATAAATCTAGAAAATACATAGAAACAATGGGAAAATTTTGCCAATACCATATTTTCTTTGTGTGTAAACTTACAGAATACAAGTGCAATTGTGTTCAGCTTTTAGGGTATCCATCACTCAAATAACATACATTGTACCCATTAATTTCTCATCGTCCATCCCCCATCACACCCTTATGAGTCTCCATTATCTATCACTGCACTAAGACCATGTGCACACATATTTTAGCACCCATTTATCAGTGAGAACCTTGATATTTGACTTTCTGTGCCTGGCTTGCTTCACTTAAGAAAATAACTTTCAGTCTCATCCATTTTGCTGCAAAAGACATGATTTCATTCCTTTTTATGACTGAATAGTATTCTATTGCATATATATACCAAATTTTCTTTATCCAACCATCCATTGATGAATACTTAGATTGATTCTATATCTTTGCTATTGTGAATAGTGCTGCGATAAACATACAAGTGCAGGTATCTTTTTGATATATACATTTCTTTTCTTTGGGTAGATGCCTAATAGTGGAATTCCTGGATCAAATGGTAGTTTTATTTTTAGTTCTTTGAGAAATCTCCGTATTGTTTTCCATAGAGGTTAAACTAATTTCCATTCCCACCAACATTGTATGAGAGTTCCCTTTTCTCTGCAACCTCACCAACTGTTATTTATTTTTTGTCTTTCTCTTAATAGCCACTCTGACTGGGGTAAGATGATTTCTTACCTACACTGGCTTGATTTCTGTGTCTTTTTTTTAGTAAGTCTTGAAGTTGGGTAGTGTCAGTCCTCCAACTTTGTTCTCCTTCACTGTTGTTGGTTATTCTGGCCTCTCCATGTAATCTTCAGAATCAGTTTGCCAAAATCCAAAAAATAACTTGCTGAGATTATTGGAATTGAGTTGAATCTATAAATCAAGTTGGAAGAACTGACATCTTGACTATTGAATCTTTTTATTCATGAACATGGAATAGATATTAAATGAAGAGATCTTAGTTTAATTCTTTGATTTCATTTTTTTTTTTTAGATGAGGTCTCACTATGTTGCCCAGGCTGGTCTCAAACTCCTGAGCTCAAGCAACCTCCTACCTCAGCCTCCCAAGTAGCTAGGACTACAGGAACACACTATAATACCTGGCTAGTTCTCTGATTTCTTGTATCAGAGTCTTGTAGTTTTTCTCACATATATTTCATAAATATTTTGCTAGATTTATACCGAATTATTTCATTTCTTGGAGTGCTAATGTAAATGGCATTGTTTTACATTTTAAATTTTACTTATTCATTGCTGGTATATAGGAAAGTATTGACTGCTGAATATTAGTATCCTGAATCTTTTCTATAATCATTTATTAATTCCAGTTTTTTTGTTGATTCTTTCAAATTTTCTAACCAGACAATATCATCTGCAAATAAAAAGTTCTATTTCTTCCTTCACATATATTATAGTATATTTTGGTTGTTGTTGTTTTATTTTTTGAGACAGAGTCTCACTCTCTCCCCAGGCTGGAGTGCAGCAGCATGATCTTGGCTCACTGCAACCTCCGCCTCCCAGGTTCAAGGTTCAAGTGATTCTCCTGCCTCAGCCTCTGAAGTAGCTGGGACTACAGGTGCACACCACCACACCTGGCTAATTTTTGTATTTTTAGTAGAGATGTGTTTTCACCATGTTGGCCAGAATGGTTGATCTCCTGACCTCGTGATCTGCCCGTCTTGGCCTCTCAAAGTGCTGGAATTTCAGGCATCAGCCACTGCATCTGGCCTATAGTATAGTTTTTAAATCTTATTGCACTAGCTAGGTCTTCCATTATCATGGTGATGATGGTGAAAAGGAATAGTGAGAGGAAACTGCCTTGTTCCCAGTCTTAATAGGAAAGCTTCTAGTTTTTCATCATTAAGAATTATGGTGTTGGCCAGGCACAGTGGCTCACACCTGCAATCCCAGCACTTTGGGAGGCCAAGGTGGGAAGATCACCTGAGGTCAGGAGTTTGAGATCAGCCTGGTCAACACGGTAAAACCCCATCTCTACTAAAAATACAAAAATTAGCCAGGCACAGTGGCAGGTGCCTGTAGTCCCAGCTACTCAGGAGGCTGAGGCAGGAGAATCACTTGAATCTAGGAGGCAGAGGTTACAGTGAGCCAAGATGATGCCACTGCACTCCAGCCTGGGGAACAGAGTGAGACTCCATCTCAAAAAAAAATAAAAAAAGAATAATGGTGTTAGCTGCAGGTTTTTTGTAGATGTGACTTATCAGGTTGAGGAAATCCCCCTATATTCCCAGTTTGCTGAGAGTTTTTATCATAAATCAGTGTTAGATTCTCCCAAATGCTCTTTCTGAATCTATTGATATGATCACTGACTTTTCTTCTTTAGCTTATTGGTGTGATGCATTGATTGATCTTCAAATGCTGGAGTGGCCTCGAATACCTGGGATCAATTCCAATTGGCTGTGGTGTATAATTCTTTTTATACATTGATGGATTCAACTTGCTAATGTTTTGTTAAGGATTTTTGCCTCTATGTTCATGAGAGATATTGATCTGTAGTTTTCTTGTAAAGTCTTTGTCTAATTTTGGAATTACAGTAATGTTGGCTTCATAGATTGAGTTAAAAATAGTTACTCTGCTTCTATCTTTTAGAAGAGATTGTCAAGAATTTGTTATATGTTTCGTAAAATTCACTAGTGAAACCACATGGGATTGTTATTAATTATTGTTTCAATTTCTTGAAAAGAAATAGATCTGTCCAAATGGCTTAGTTTTTCTTATGTGAGTTTTGGCAAATCGTGTCTTTCCTGAGAGATTGACCTATTTCATCTAGATTATTGAATTTGTGAGCCTAGAGTTTTTCATAATATTCCTTTATTGTCCTTTTCATATGTCCATTGGATCTATAGTGATGTCACCTGTTCCATTTCTCATAATAGTAATTTGTGTCCTGCCTTTTTTCCTTAGGTTTATCAATTTCATTGATCTATTCAAAGAATAGACTTTTGGTTTTGTTTTCTTCATTGACTTCCTGTTTTCAATTTCATTGATATCTTCTATAATTTTTATTATTTCTTTTCTTCTTACTTTGGAATTAATTTGCTCTTCTTTTTCTAGCTTCCTAAGGTAGAAATTTAATTACTGATTTTAGATCTCTTTTTCTAATATACAGATTAAATGCTATAAATATCCCTCTAAGTACTACTTTTGCTGCATCCCACAAATTTTTACATTGTTTTCATTTTCAAAAAATCTTAATTCAAAACATTTTAAGGTTTCTCTTGAGATTTCTTCTTTAACCCACACACTTAGATATGTGTAGTTTAATCTCCAATTATTTTGGGATTTTCCAAGTATCTTTCTGTTGTTAATTTCTAGTTTAATTCCATTGTGTCTGAGAGCAGACATTGTGTATTTTCTATTCTTTTAAATTTGTCAGGTGTGTTTTACGACCCAGAATGTGGTCTTCATGGTGAATGTTTCATGTGAGCTTGAGACAAATGTGCATTATGCTACTGTTTGGATGGAGTAGTCAATATATGTCAATTATATCAAGTTAATTGATGGTGAAGTTCTTTTATGTCCTTACTGATTTTCTGCCTATGTATCTGTCCATTTCTGATACAAAGGTGTGATGGTTAATACTGAGTGTCTTGATTGGATTGAAGGATGCAAAGTATTGATCTTGGTTGTGTCTATGAGGGTGTTACCAAAGGAGATTAACAATAGTCAGTGGGCTGGGAAAGGCAGACCCACCCTTAATCTGAGTGGGTACAATCTAATCAGCTGCCACTGTGGCTAGGATAAAAGCAG